GCCAGTGTTTCTTTTTGTATAGAAGTTAAAAAATATATTTTCTTTTATCCCACCTCTGAAATATATAAATTCTTTTTTGTCAAATAAGTGTCTATACTTCATTTAATTGGATTAACCTTTTTTTTAGCTTCTGTACTATGAGCAAAAGGGCAACTCAATCTTCATGGCCTATTTAGTACTTGGCTTCTATGATGAGAAAGGCAGCAGTGAGGCTATTCTGTAACAGCAGTGGGCATTAGATTTCATAATAAACGAATGGGGGAGCTGTGCTGGTGTGTAGATGCTTCCATACTTCCCAGCTGGCAATATGCATGCTATTGCAGACAATACCAAAAAAACCTAAAGACATAGTTTTTTCCTTCCTCTACACCTAGTAAATTTGTAACTATAAAACCACAGGATCCCCCTTTTGTCCTCCACCCCCATTTTTCTTTTCTTTATTTAGTCTAAGATTGGACACATCTTTGCAGATTCTGAACTTCTGTGGCTCAAAAGCTATTGACAAGGTTGGGACGAAACACAGAAAGTCTGTTTTTCCTGATGCTGACAAGATGTACCACTGTCCATCTAAATAACTCTGATGGCTAGAGTGAATCATAAGTTCTAATTATTTTATTTGGGGTTACTGAATCCAATAGCCCAATAGTGGCAAGGTTGCTGCAACTCCCTTTCCCTAGGTCCACCCACTAGCAAGGCTGAGTATGTATTCCCAATAGGCATACAAACACATACACCATACAAATATACATACACATGCAGCCAGCCACACAAATCAATAGAGACAGAAACACTTATGCAAACACAGATGGCACTAACATACCTGGATGTATGATCTTCTGAGGCCTGCAGCCCCTCACACTCACAGATACAGACCCTCATTCACCACTTTGTGCACACGTGCACACACATGCGTACGCATGCTGGCTTCCAGTAACAGGCCTTAGACACTCAATCTACACAGCAACTGACCCCAGACTCCCCAGTCTTCCAGTTACCTCACACACCCACACTGGGACCCACACTTATACTTTATGGGACGCCCAGAAACTTGCCTTAAGCATGCAGTCTGCTTGCTAACTGTCCCTGGATGCTCACTCTCCCAGTTGCTAGTACTGGAGTGTGCAACCCTCTGAAGCCTGCAGCCCCACTCCAGTTGTTGCTACACAGTTTAAGTAAGTACTGGATGAGCCTTCTACTGTTTGTATAACAGATAAGCTATTCCTATAAGGATTGTCAGTGAATGTTCTTTGATGTAAGGTACTTATGATACTACACACCACTGGAAGTTGTGCTGTAGGACACAACTTTTGCAACAAAAGACAAAACTATAAAAACAACAGCTCATGTTTCTGAATGGAAAAGAAGCTAAAACTTTATTCCTAATTCAAGGAGCTGGGTTCTCAGCCTCTAAGCATTAAGGTGTTAGTTTTAAAGATACTATACAATATGATACGACACAATATGCTACGATACGATACAATATAGTACAGAAGTACAGGGAAAACCCAGTCCCAATTACAAAAAAGTGGAAAGAACAGGAGTGGGACAGATAATCATGAAGAAATAATATTCAGAAGTTCTTAGACAGAAGCATAGATCCTTTGCTGTAGAAATGTAGAAAGTATAATTTGCTGTGTTCTTGCTGACGTGATGAAGAGGACTCTTCATTTATTTTCCATGAAGTTTAGACACTTGCCACCAGCCTAATTGAAAACAAAATTGAATAAACAAATAATAATAATAAAAAAAAAACCACCCAGGAAAAGGAACAAACACAATAAACTAGGAAAAAATAGACCATATTTATCAATGTCCCAACTGCTGTGTCTCCCAAGGGTATTAACAGAAATGACTGTGTTGTATCTCCATGCTTTCTCCCCTTTTTGTCCCAATGAAGTGTCTTAACCTGTACAAATTATTTACTTACATACTGAACTAATATCTTTACACACAACTTTGTGTGTTAGATGACTAATCTGGTGGTCTTCTATAATGGAGTGACTGCATAGGTGGACAAGAGAAGAGATACAGATGTTATGTACCTCGACTTCTGTAAGGTCTTTGATATGGTCCCCCACAACATTCTTGTCGCTAAATTGGAAAGAGGTTTAATGGATGGACTGTTACATGGGTAAGGAATTGGCTGGATGACAGTGACCAAAGAGTTACAGCCAACGGCTCAATGTCCAAGTGGAAAACAGTAAGGAGTGGTTTCCCTCAAGGGTCCATACTGGGAGCAATACCATTTAATACCTTCCACAGTGTGTCATTGATATTGGCATTGAATGCATCCTCATCAAGTTTGAAGATGACAGCAACCTGAGCAATGCATTTGATATACTTGAGGGAAGGGGTGCCATCCAGAGGGACCTGGACAGGCTTGAGGAGTGGGCCCATGTGAATATCGGGAAGTTCAATAAGGCCAAATTCAAGGTTCTGCAGCTGGGTTGAGGCAATCACCAGGATCAGTACAGACTGGCGGATGGATGGCTTGAGACCAGCCCTGTGAGAAGGACTTGGAGATATTGGTGGATGAAAAATTTTATGCCAGCCATTCATGTGTACTTGCAGTCCAGACAGCAAATTGTATCCTGGGCTGCATCAAAAGAAGCATGGCCACCAGGTCAAGGGAGGTGATTCTGCCCCTTCTACTCTGCTCTCGTATGACCCCACCTGGAGTACTGCATCCAGTTCTGGGGGTCCACAGCACAAGAAAGACATGGACCTGTTAAAGATGGTCCAGAAAAGGGCCACAAAAACGTTCAGAGGGCTGGAACATCTCTCTTATCAAGAAAGGCTGAGAGAGTTGGGGTTGTTCAGCCTAGAAAAGAGAAGCCTCTGGGGAGACCTTCTTGCAGCCTTTCAAAATACAAGGGGGTTTGTAAGAAAGATAGAGTTGTTACCAGGGCCTGTAGTGACAGGACTAGGAGCAATGGTTTTAAACTGTTACAGAGTAGCTTTAGCTTAGCTATAAGGAAGAAATTTGTTATGATGAGGGTGGTGAGACACTTGGTTGCCCAGAGAAGTTGTGGATGCCCCATCATTGGAAGTGTTCAAAGCTAGATTGGAGAGGCCTTTGAGCAACCTGATCTAGTGAAAGATGTCTCTGCTTATGGCACATGTGTTGGACCAGATGATCTTTAAAGGTCCTTTCCAAAGCAAACTATTCTGTGATTCTATGATTGTGATCAAGTAAAGTACAAATCTACTCCCTCTACTATCCTTGAAAAAGGACAAAAAACCATAATTGAGTTTGTGTTCATAGCCACCCTGAAGGTTACTTTTAATTTCCTAGTCCAGCTTTTAGAGGAACAAGTGCTGAGGCTTCCACTACTCTCACTGGGAATATCTTTCAGCCATATGAGAAACTTAATGCTAAAAAGTATTTCCTGGTAGTTAGTTAAACTTCTCCCATTTGTTCAGATTTATCCCATTGTTCTTTCTAAATCTTTGTAAATCTGTTCAGATTTATCCTATGTATCTCCTCAAAACCCCTGCTTATTACTTTCACTGCAGGCATGATTCCCATTTCAATGCTTACAGAAAGATATGATATATCTGGTATTTCCCTTTACTTTCTGGAGAAGTTAATTCTCATCTTTTCCCACATGTTTAAAGAGTATTTTGAGAAGAATATCTCTGCTAGATAAAATTGATTTTATTTGAGTTCTGGAAAAACAGTAATTGAAAATACATCACTTATTATTTTTCAAACTGGCCTGCCCAAAATCTGGTAGAACACATGGAGAACAACCCCACAGCTGAGAACAGATTTAGTCTGTATCCACTGATCCTTGCAGCAGTGAGTAAGCTCAACTTTCAAGTGACACACTTAGCCTACCTTGGCTGTCCACACCAGACTGCTCACCAAAATTGCATAGAGCAACGCTTTGCCACAGAGCATGAGGTAAGTGAGCTTCAGAGAATTTCCATACCGCAAGTAGGACTCTGCAAATCAAACATCGTTTGTGTATTGAATTCTATCATCACAAGAGACTAGCTCTAATATAGCTTTAATCAAATAAAACCCCCTGAAATCTTCAGCTAAGTGAGACAAAGGAACAAGAGCCAAATGAATGGCTCTGTTGACATGAGATGGCAGGGGATGGGAAAGAACACTGTGATTCAAAGAACCAAAAGAGAAAGCAAGTCTAGGAAAGACACAGATTTGCTTCATGCTTAGAAAGTATGTCCTGATTGGGATTGTTTAACCGTTGTGTTGCCACACCTACTGAAAAACTAGACTGTTCATGTGAATCCCCTCTTAAGAAGTCAAATTAAGCTGAATCACAAGGTACAAATTTTTTTCACTCATTATTTTCAGTGGCCTCGTGTGTGCTGCTGATATATCAGGAAAATTTTACATAGCCCAGAATAACATGATATCTACAACTTTTATTTTTGTAGATTTTTCACTCTTCAGAAATTGTAGTACTATTGAGACACCAGCCTGATCTTGGTTCAGCCTTAAGATTCCTGAAACATTAAAGAAGTTGGTGAAAAACAAGACTGTGTAAATATATATACATAGAGGAAAGAAACATAATTTTTAATATGGATATCCTCACAGTTTGGAGGGGAATGTGACTTGTAATTGGAAGTATTCTGAATTTTATACTAAGAAATATTCAGAATTCTGGATTTTGAATCTTGATATTGTAACACTTGGCTGAGTATGTATTTTTTCTTTCATGGTTGAGCAAGCAGCCTCCCAACAGAAGGCAGTATAAAAGACTGGGGGAGATGATAAAAAGAGCAAATTACACTCTATAGGAAGGTTCCACAATTCCTTCTGTTATTTCAAAAGGGAATCATAAAGAAGAGCTAAAACATGCAACCCTCCCAAATTATTTTTTTTTAATTTAACATACAAATCACCTAGATGAGGGCGTACAAGTTATTCTTATAGTAGAAAACTCACACACCTTGTGCTCAGCATCAATAAAACTGGAATTAAAATACATACAGATATTTGCCTGTGAGGACACACACACACGTACCTTCTGTGAGCGCACAACCTGAAAGACAAAAATGAACTGAATGTCACATTTCTCTTCAACGCAAACAGAACACAAATTTTAGAAGTTTCAGTTTACAATATATTAACTGATTAATTTTACTGTACTATACATGATATAATACTAAAGAGATTTCTCAATGAAAATCTGAAGAAACCTTTGAGAAACTATAGATGTATAACAATAATGTAGATATAGATGCCCAGGAATATGAAGAGACATATGCAAATATGTACATATTTACATATGTATTTGTGCCATAATAATCCTGTATAGAAGTTGGCTATAGATGTTTTTCACATCATAACCCACACCCTTTTGATTTGTGATTTCTAGTTTGTACAGCATGGTGATACACATTTTTTACTCACCAGCATCACCATAGATTAATTTGTGTATTGATTCCACTGTTCCATTCTTCAAAAAATTGGCAACACACTCAAAACGATTCAAAGGGTTGAACCATTCCTGTGTTGAGATCCTCAGTCGGCTGGTCAATGAGTAGGTAGTCCCATTCTGTGTGGAAAACTCATCTGTCCCCACCCCTTCTGTCCTTTTAGCACCATTCATCTTCCAGAACAGATTCAGGTGGTCAGGGTAGAAACCAGAGGCCAGGCATACCAGTGTGGCCTTGCTTTTCTGTTGGATCTCTTGCTTTGATGGTGAAAAGATGGCCACAGCTGGAGGTATGATTTCATCGTTCTTTCCTGAAACAGAAAGCAATATGGCCCAGAGCCTCCATTACTCTGTTCAACCAGAAACCCCTTAAAACTGTGCTTTATTTGTGCTGTGTGACTCCTGTCTATTAGACAATATCTATTACATAGGCAGACACCAGGAAACTGAAAGCATTTATCTTCACTCATTGCACAGGAACATAGAAGGTCTAGGTACAGAAATGCGTAAGTGTTTGAATTTCTAGTATTGTCTCTGTCAGAAGAAGAGGAAAGCTGAAAAGAAGCTGAGCAAACAGGCAGAAAAGTACCCAATATTGCTATAAGGCCTGTGTTTGTAATATCGTACTAATAGATAAGAGTCTGTGTTATAAGGTACAAACATCCTCAACTGACTGCGTTACATTCCTGGAAGTGTAGTAAGACATAATGGTTATTGCAGCAGCAGTGCGATACCCTACTTGGAACCCCCCCATCTAAGAGGTCACTTGAAAGGAAGGGGCTAATCTTTCTCACTGTCTGAAGTGAAGAACACTTTAGGCAGTTAACCTGAATCTGCCTGGGACAAGTTTTTCCTTAGGTCTTAACTTGCCATCCTTTTTTAAGAATATGAAATATCTCTTTATGTTATTTATTATTTAGTTTGTTCTAGGTATGGGAAGCCCTCATCCTAGACTACACATCTTCCCAAAATGATGCAAGATTCTATACTAAAATTTGTCCCTGTCCTAAAGTGTTTAATACCTACATGTAAGACTAAAGACAACAGACTTCCACAAAGTCAAAGGGATGTACAAGGCAGCAATGAGATGTTACTCAGAAACTAGACAGTGACCCTAAAATCCATCTTTTTTTTTTCCATATACTTTATTAAAATCATAGAATCATAAAGAATAGACCTCTGAGATCATCAGGTCCAACCATTGACCTATACTACCATGCCCACTAAACCATGTCCCGAAGTGCCATATCTACACGCTTTTTGAACACCTTCAGAGATGGTGACTCCACCACCTCCCTGGGCAGCCTGTTCCAACATTTGACTACTCTTTTGGTAAAGAAATTTTTCCTAATGTCCAATCTAAACCTCCCCTGCTGCAACTTGAGGCCATTTCCTCTTGTCCTGTCACTTGCTACTTGGGAGAAGAGACTGGCCCCTCACCTCACTACAACCTACTTTCAGGTAGTTGTAGCGAGTGATAAGGTCTCCCCTCAGCCTCCTCTTCTCCAGGCTAAACAACCCCAGTTCCCTTAGTTGCTCCTCATGAGACCTGTACTCCAGACCCTTCGCCAGCTTCCTTGCCCTTCTCTGGACACACTCCAGCACTTCAATGTCTTTCTTGTAGTGAGGGGCCCAAAACTGCACACAGTATTTGAGGTGCGGCCTCACCAGTGCTGAGTACAGTGGGATGATCACTTCCCTAGTCCTGCTGTCCACACTATTTCTGATACAAGCCAGGATGCTCTTGGCCTTCTGGGCACACTACTGGCTCATCTTCAGCCTGCTGTCAAGCAGTACCTCCAGGTCCTTTTCTGCCGGGCAGCTTTCCAGCCACTCATCCCCAAGCCTGTAGTCCTGCATGGGGTTGCTGTGACTGAAGTGCAGAACCTGGCACTTGACCTTGTTAAACTTCATAGCATTGGCCTCAGCCCATCAATTCAGCCTGTCCAGGTCCCTTTGCAGAGCCTTCCTACCCTTGAGCAGATCAACACGCCCACCCAATTTAGTGTCATCTGCAAACT